AACAAAAAATTTCCAAAGATTTACTTTATTCCTAAAAATTATGGACATGTGATGAGAAAATATTATTCACGAGGAGTTTAGGTTTTCACTACTGCTTTTGTTTTTAGAAAGGCTGGAAACAAAGTTGCCAAGAGAAATTACAGGTGAATATTTCCGAACGAGTTTGCAACATCTCCTGCTTGGTAACGAGGTTATCCAGGAAAGCCATATCGCAATGTGTCAATATTTTCTGCTTCCTAAAGGTCGCAGTGTGAAGGCAGAATCCTCGAAACAGGGATTTTTAGCTTCACACACTGGCACTAATTTTTTTTGTGGCGAGCAGCAATTTGTCGAGTGGTTGCCGGCTACCGGTCAGTGCAGCTTTGCGAAAATTCTCACTGTGTTCTGAAACAGCTCAGTTTTAAGCGAGGAATGCAAAAGTGAAAAGTTTAATTTGAGTCCTAGTGCTGACGCTTCAATTCGAAATCCAGAATTAAAATTCTGAAAAATATGTAAAAGATAGCATCAGTGGATGATAACTGCAACAGGCGGGACTTCGGTTCGAATTCCATGGTCCACCGTTGAACAGCTTCCATCTGTAACAATTGTACGGGTTTTATGGCTCGCGAATCCGAATGTTTTCACAAGCAGGCACACGCTGGATGGGCAATGGCGAGTAGTAGATGAAGTGTATGGTGCTGCTGTCAAAAGTATGCCTGTGAAGTCCTCAGAATCGAACGTTAATTCTGAAAAGGTTAGTTTAGTAACCGTTAAAGGCAACAGAGCTGTAACAGAGTTATCAAGAACCCCGTAACTTTGACGTTATTTAAAAGACAATAACATGTCCAAGCTCAGCCAATCCAGATTCGCTAATCCTGTTATATCCATCATGGAGAGCACAGCTTCTTCTCGACTACTATTTAACTGTGACAAATTATTATTTCTTTAAAATTTTGTCTTTTATAGTATGTTTTCTATCCAGTCTATTAATTTTTTTCTTTCAATTCTAAAAACGGACTACTTTTTTGATCTTTGCCAATTGCTGGATATGCAAGGGGATAACAGCACCTACTGCGTTGCCCTTTCTTTGATTATGAAGCACTAAGGAAATGTTATGCTTCCTACTGTTTTAACGAATGGAGTTGATGATGGTTACGTCGAAGACAAAAAAAAAATAACCACCAGTCATCCGGCTAACAACAATGTTCGTCGCTCCAACAGTGAATGGCGGTCGAGGTAGACGTTAAACAAGGATGAAGTACAGCTTATGCGTTTCACGGTTTGCTTTGAGATGCTATTTCGCAAGCTGCATTGGGAGGGGAACTGGAAAATCAGTGAAAAGCTCGTCCACTTATGTTTCATTGATAACACAACTTTCTTCGCAGATAGTGCTGGTCAAATAAGACTAGTACTCCTATAATTAACCCGTGAAATTAATTTTTCCAAATAGCTTATATTAAACGTTGTCAAAAAAAAATTTACAGCTACAACTGCCTGGAAGAAGTGCTGATTTTGACGGATTTTACGTCAGTTTTCGTGTTGACGAATCAGTCGACCAGGTCAGCTTGGATTTGTCGATTAAAGCGTAGTTGGATTTATTTGTTTTTTTGTTGTGGAGAACTGCGTTCAGTCTAGCCGGGACTGTAAACTCCTTTTCAGATTCAACTGGGCGTCTGGGATGATCATGTTAATGTCTGGAATTTAGCAAATCGCACACACTGTCGAGTGCAAAGAGCTGGACCAAGCTATGTACTCTTCACATGCGTCCGAGAATTTTTCCTTAACGCTTTCAGTGAGAATATTACATACTTTGCAGCTATGCAGAATGCATCTTTTCCCAAAATGTAAGTGAACCTTTTCCCACTTATTGAATGATACTGGAATCCAGAATCTTGTAAACAAAAAATCGGCGAAAAATAAAATTGTCTTTCTAAGAAATCCTAACTGTTACAAGTTCTATACAGCTTTAGTGCAGAGCTGGTCAGCAGGCTAAATTTCGGAGCTGAAGTCTGCCTTTAGTGCAGAGTTTTAATCTTGAAGCACTTTTTTTGACCTCGACTGTTTTAAAACAACTTTTAAAATAAACTTACAACTACCAGACTAAAACCGAGGATTTAAGGCCACCAACAAGCAGTGAGCGTCAGAATTAACAGTGGCAAAACGCTGCCTACTAAATACAAGATTCCTTCGCTTCTTCAGAAATTGAGACTGCTAGTTGTTGTGGTCACTTCTCATTTTCCTCTGTCTCTTCTACTTCTCTCTCTTGTTTTGGTCATCTTCTTCCTTTAATTTACAAGGGAAATTGTCAATTAAAAGAGGTGACAAAAAACACTTTTCGACTATTAACCATCAGTTTGGCCAGAAGGTATTCCAATTCTTATCAAAAACGCATTCCATCTGAAAATAGGAGATATAAAAGAACTTCGTTGATATACTGTTTTGCTGCACACTGTGGTCTTTAATACTGTTCCATGCAAAGCTTCTTGCATCCCTCAGAGTCGGCTTTTATAAAAAAAAAAAAAAAAAAAAAAAAAAA